TAAAAATCGACAGCAGTTTGAGCTGAACGTTAATTTACTGACTGAGATATGATAAAATCTAACCTTATAATCTCAAACAATTATACAGATCAAATGATTCATGAATCATTTTTATAATATATAAGTCAGTAAGTTAACGCTAACTTAAACGATCGTCAATTTTTAATTAAAAATGATTAGTTTGAAAAATTGAATAGTTATGTGATCATTTTGTAACTTTTGATAGTCAAAGAACTTAATAAAATAACATCATATAATCGAAACCATTTATGTACTTTACCTTGTATTTTTTTATCTGAAATTTAAAATTAAATTAAATTCAAACAATTAAATAAACCAAAATTAATATAAATATTATTATTTAAATTAAAATAAAATAAAATTCAAATCTAAATCAAATCGACCGACTTCATTTTCAATTTTCAAAATGTTTTCTCGATCTAGGCCAACATAGAACAAGCGATCTTAATTGGAGCGCACAGTTTTCGTATAAATGAAAAGTTTTGGTGAATCACGTCTTTATCAGTTTTTTTACTTGCACTATCGCAAGGCAGACAGAGCGCAGAGCTCCGGCTTCATGCTCTTATGCAATGTTTTTTAAACCGGACCATATATTAAACCAGTGAAAGTATTGGTTCATTAGTTTAATCGGGTTCAAACGCGGGTGAACCCGATTTTATATAAAATAATTTTTTTTAATTTTACATAATATTCAAAGCAATATTAATCTATATATAACACTTTTTTTAAGTTTACAATATTAAAAGGTATACAAATATCACAAGTCATAACATATATAAATTAAAAACCATAAAATCAAGTGAAACAAAATGATTCAAATCAACTACAATATAATATTTAAGGTAAAACATATTAAATAATAAATATAATTATATAACTATAATAAAAAAATAAAATTGGGACTTAAAAAAATCATAATAAATAATGTCATTTGGTTTAATTTTTTTTTTAAAAATTATCCCACATGGCTAAGAAACATAGAAGAGCATCCCAAAAGTTTAAAGAGAAAATATGAGAACAAAACAATCCCACATGGCTAAGAAACATAGAAGAGCATCCCAACTTACTTCTATAAATAATAGAAGTAATTTGACATTTAAAATCATGGAGCCTTTTGGTGAGCACAGAGCGAACTATTCTTTTGCTTCACAATTGAGCTCAAATTTTAGGCTTCAATTGAACTTCTAATTTTTTTTGAGTTCGAGCCTTTTCGAGTTCAAGTTTTAATATTACATTTCGAGTTCGAGTTGAACTTGATAATTTTTAGCTCGTGAGTTTTTGAGTTGAGTTGAGCTTACTTTTAAAGTTTTCGAGTTCGAGTCGAGCTTATCAATACTCGAATTTGACTCGGCTCGTTAAACAAACGATGTCGTTTGGTTTAATTTTTTTTAAAAGAAAAAAAAGTGAACCGGCGGTTCAAAATGATTTTGCCGGTTTTCAGCCGGTTAACCCCGGTTTTATCAGTTTTTAGTCGGTTCTATCGGTTTTCAGCCGGTTCATTGCTATACTGGTTTTGTGAGGTAACCGGATTGGACAAGCCACTGGTTCATGGTTCAACCGGTTGAACCGGCCGATCCGGTCCGGTTTTGATAACCAAGCTCTTATGTCTTTTGCTATAAGGCACTACAATCGGTATTGATCTAAAGATCCCAGATAAGTTGTAATAACCTTAACCTGGTACCCAAACTGGTACCTAGGAGTGATTAACCTGAGTACTGGGGATCTGGTTCGTCAACCGGACGCCGTCCCTCACACCAACAAGATTGGTGGGTTAAGGAGAGTGGAGTTTGACCCAAAACTCTCATTCGAAGGAGTAAATGGGTATCTCATAATCAGCTTGAGGTGGGTTAGTTATCAGGATCATGGCCGAATGGAGTCTGTCTGGAAAAGACCATTTTTGGGTCAAGTGGAACAAGACCTCACATGTCTCTTATTTTTCTTTTTTATTAGCATTCTTATCCTTCCTAATAGTAAAAAAACTAATAACAATCGACAGAATTGTAACATCCCAAAAACAGGACTAGTGACTAAACTGTAAGATTTTAAAACTTTATGATCAATTTTGATAGATTGAAAAGTTCATGGACTTAATTGGAAGTTCTTTGTGAAGGATTGATGAGAAAAAAATGAAAGATGGAAGGGCATGCTAGTCATTAGACATGGAAATGAATTTAAAAATTATTAGTGGTATATTATATATACACGTGGAATAGAAGAAATATAATCCATAAATTTCTTCATCTTTCTTCCTCCTATCCACCAAGACTCCATAGCTAAGGTAAGAAATTTTCAGTTAGTTATTTCTTTCAATTTTTGTTTGGTTTTGGTTATTGGGGTAATAAGGAAGCTTGAGAAAGCTTAAAGAGTTATAGAAACTAAAAGATGGATAAGTTATGAGGGATTTGGTAAAAAGGGTTTTTGAGTGAATTTTTGTGAGAGAACTAGTAAATGAATTTTGAAGTGAAATTTGACTTGTCATAAGTTGGGATAACGGATCTAATGTGTTAGAATATGATTTAGAACATGTTTGAAATTTGATAAGATTTTTAATTTTAAGTGTTCTTTGGGGATTTTGGAAGTTTAGATGTGCTGAAGTGATATAAGTTAGTTTTAATATAAGTAGTTGAGTTTAAAGGCCTGAAGGGAATTAAAAGTGGGGAACTTAGTTAAGTTTTGGTAAATTTCGAACTGGAACGAGTAAGTTCTGGGCAAGAGGTATTAGTACTGGATGAACAATACCGATTCTCCAAAGCAAAAATAGGTGATTTTGGGTTTGGGTATCGATACTAGATGAACAGTATCGATACCATAAGTTAAAATTTGATGAAATGTTTTAATCAGTATCGATACCAAAGGAGTAGCATCGATACCAAGGGTATCGATACTAATGGTCAAGTATCGATACCATTTTTAGAGGTCGAATTCCAGAATGTAGAAAGGGTATCGATACTGAAGTATAGTATCGATACCACAATAAAGAAGTATTGGTACTGTACTTGGGGTACCAATACTATTCAGATTGAAATTTTGAATTAAGTGCTTCATTTAGCTTATGTTATTTAGGATTGATTATAGTGATATGAATTTTGATATTTATACCAATATGTCATTGTGTAGATATCGATCGAAAGCAAGTTTAGGATGATTCAAAGACATAAGATCAATTAAGAGTGTTAATTGTTTTGCTTTGACCAGTGAGGCCAAGGTGAGTGCATACTACTATGTATATGGTATTTTATGGAAATGAGACTTGCGATGAGTCTATTTTCAATGTTATGATTGCATGATTCTATAAGTGCAAGCATATTATTGATATGATTTCTATCTGTACATGAGTACAAGTATATGTCTATATGTTAGATGCACTGATATACATGAGTTATGTGTTACATGTTATCCACATGTTATCCTATGTGTTACATGAACTATATGGACATATGAGAATAAGACACAAGCTATGTGAAAATTGTCTATGTGAATACACGTCTATGTGAATACATGTTTATGTGAAATGATATAAAAGGTAAATACCATAAGTATGTGATATGAGAGCTAAGGGTATAATTGGCATGCCAAGAGTCGAGGGTTATATGTGGTCCTTCGGGACAATTCTACATGGTCCTTCGGGACATTTCTACGTAATCCTTCGAGACATATCTATGTGGTCATTCGGGTCATTTCTATGTGGCACTTCGGTGCAATTTATACGAGCTGTAGTGACAACATTTGTGCACAACCTCAATGCACTCACATACCTTAAGTTCTCAATGATGTACCATGGGCTATTAAAAAAATAAATAACATGAATGATTAGTGCATGATGTTTTATATGTCTTGTTTGATGAAATGCATAATGGCTTCTGTATACTATGTTATTTATAGAAATTAAGTATATGATTGCATGTTTTAATGTTTCATTCATGCATTATATGACTCATTAAATCAAAGACTTAGCGTGTGAATGTTTCACACGTATGATTAAAGAAGCCAGAGGAAAAGAATAGAAAGTCAAGACAACATATATATACCAGAAGATCAGATCAGAAGTAATTTACAAAGTATGTTTTGTTGTAATAAATGTATTGGCATATAACTAAAGGTGAATTACATATGCTCTGATCACTTTTGTAACATACACTATTATATTTATGTTAATTATTGAGCTTCTATTTTCAAAAGAAGTTGAATTCTGTTTATTTATTTTTGATTAAATGTTCCCCCATTTTTATACAAATGAAGGTTTAACATTTCAATTATTGCTTTAAAATACATGTTTTGAAAAGTCAATGTGTCATATCGAATTCGTATCCGGGTTAGATACGGGTTAAGGTGTTACATTTAATGGTATCAGAGCTATGGTTTAGCCGATTATAGGCATAAATCGAAGTCAAAAGTGTTTTAAAAAGTATACATGCCAACAAAATAGTGAAAATTTTCTAATCTGATAGTGTAAGGAGTGTATTGTCTTGCTAATAGAATTGAAATGTTATGTCTTATTAGATGTCTGACCATGAAAGCTCTCTAAGTAAAGCGGGAGATGATAGGGAAGAAGGTAGTAGCAATTCACCTTCCCTGGCCAGGCAAGGTGAAGAACAAACACCTCATGGAGTGCCTGTACAAGATTAAAAGGTGTTTTTTAGGACTTTGGACGCTATCCTGACGCGTTTCCAACCTCGTGCTCCCTCAACTCCTAGAATGAATATTGCAAAAGAGTTGAAAGGATTAGGAGCTCCTAAATTTAAGGGTGAAGCTGAGGAATGTCCTGTTGTTACGAACCTTTAGTTAAATGATGTCAAGAGTTGGAAGGTCTCCACTGTTCTGAAGTGAAGAAGTTGGATGGAGTGGTTTCTCTGCTACAAGGGCAAGCTAGAGTATGGTGAACAAATGTTACCATGAGATTGACAAGTGACCAAGTGACATGGTCCTTGTTCTTAGAAGAGTTCAAACACAAGTACATTGGAGATAAGTTTATAAGGCAAATGAAGCAAGAGTTTATGAGTTTGAAGCAGGGGAATTGCACCGTATATGACTACGAGCGCGAGTTCAATAAGTTGAGTCGATTTACTGGTGAGCTGATTCCAACCAAAAAAGATACATGTGAATGGTTTGTTAAGGGCTTACGTCATAGACTAAAAGAAATGTTGATAGTTTTGAATCTGTCCTTATTCAAAGAAGTAGTTAACCGTACTAAAGCTCTTGAGAGAGCTCATAATGAAAGATTTGGAGAACAAAAAGTTCAGATGTCCAAGAGAACTGGTGCTTTCTCGAGTCCAGTACCATCAAAGAGGGGCAGAGATTCTGGTTTTCAATCTTAGGCGAGGTCTGAGTCAGCTGCATCCTCTACTAGAGGATCAAATCTGATGCTAGCCAGACAAACATAATCTGTAGGGTATGGTTCTGGGAGATCGAATCAAGGTCAATCGAGACAGTGTCAACACTGTGGAAAGAATTATACCGGAGTATGTATAGTGGTCTCCAGAGCCTATTTCTAATGTGAAGACATCAGGCATTTTATCCGGGATAGTCCAATGATGATGGGAGAGATGCCAGTCTGAACGATCTGCTTCTGTATCTTAGAGAGGTAGAGGAATAGGTAAAAAAAGAAATGAGTCTGAGTCATCCAATCAATAGGAGATGCATTCAACTGCCTGAGTTTATAATATTAAGACAAATGAAGATCATGATGATCTACATATAATTACAGGTACTTTCCAGTTACTTGATAAATTTGTTTTGGTATTGATTGTTCCGGGTTCCACTTATTCATATATTAGTAGCAAGTTGGTGAGAAAGTTATGAATACTTCTAGAAGCAACAAGTAATGATGTGATAGTGACTAACCCATTAGGGCATAGTGCTCGGGTAAATCGAGTGTGTCGAGGGTGCTCCATAAAAATTTAGGGAATTAAATTCCCTGCTAATCTGATAGAATTACCCTTTAATGAATTTGAAGTGATTTTGGGAATAGACTGGCTATATCATTATCATGCAAATGTCGACTGTAGATTGAAAAGAGTAATTTTGATAAGTCTTGAGGGATCAGAAGTGATTGTGATCAGTGAAAGATTTAATCCGTTACCAAATGTTATATCAGTGATGTCAGCAAAGAAGTTATTATTGCAAAGATGTCAAGTTTTTATTTCTAATGTGATAGATAATCGGGTTAAGGAAAAAAATAGAGGATATTTAGACGGTCAGAGATTTTTCTGACATCTTCCCAACTGAGTTACCAGGATTACCTCCAGACAGGGAAGTTGAGTTTCAAATTGAGGTAATGTCTGGAACATCACCAATTGCAGCACCATATCGAATGGCTCCGAAAGAGTTGAGCGAACTAAAGATACAATTACAAGAATTATTGGATAAAAGATTCATTAGAGCTAGTGTGTCACCATGTGGAGCTCCAGTGTTGTTTGTAAAGAAGAAAGATGGTTCTATACGTCTCTGCATTGATTATAGACAGCTCAACAAGGTGACCATAAAGAATAATTATCCCCTCCCAAGAATCGATGATTTGTTTGATTAGTTAAAGGGAGCTTCGGTCTTCTCTAAAATCTATTTGCGCTCTGTTTATCATCAATTGAAGATTCAAGAAAGAGACATTCCAAATACGGCTTTTAGGACGAGATATGGTCATTATGAATTCATTGTTATGTCGTTTGGGTTGACTAATGCATCTACTGTGTTTATGGATTTAATGAATAAAGTATTTCAACCATATCTTGATAAGTTCGTGGTTGTCTTCATCGACGATATTCTAGTGTATTCTAAGTCCAATGAGGAGCATGATGCACATGTTAAAGTAGTTTTGCAAACTCTACGAGATAAGAAGTTGTATGCCAAATTGTCTAAATGTAAGTTTTGGCTAAATGAGGTGGCATTCCTTAGGCATGTGATTTCTGTAGAGGGAATTAGAGTAGATCCTCAGAAGATAAAAGCCATATTAGAATGGGAAATTCCAAAGAATTTGTCTGAAGTTCGGAGTTTCCTATGTCTTCCAGGATATTATCGAAGGTTCGTTAAGAACTTTTCAATGTTAACTTTGCCTTTGACCAAGTTATTGAGGAAAAATTTGTCTTTTGCTTGTACTCCTGAATGCTAAGGAATCTTTGAAGCGTTAAAAAGAATTTTGACAGAAGCACCAATATTGGTCCAACCTGAATCTGGCAAGAATTATGTAGTTTACAGTGACACGTCCCATAATGGCTTGAGATTTATATTAATGCAAGAAGGTAAGGTAGCGACATATGTATCTAGGCAATTGAAACTGCATGAGAAGAATTATCCTACACATGATTTAGAGTTGGCTGCAGTAGTGTTCTCTCTTAAGATATGTTGTCACTACTTATATGGTGAACGTTGTTATCTCTATACAGACCACAAAAGTTTAAAGTATCTAATAACTTAGAAATAGTTAAATTTGAGGCAACAAATATGAGTTGAGTTCTTCAAAGATTATGATGTAGTTATTGACTTTCATCCCAGGAAAGAAAATGTGGTAGCTGATGCTTTGAGTTGGAAAATGTTCGCAGCTTTACGAGCTTTAGATGTGAGATTATCAATGAGTAGAGATGGTGCATTACTCGTAGAATTAAAGCTTAGGCCAATGTTGTTGGATCGAATCAAAGACTTGCAAAGTAAAGATGAAAAATGTTTTAAAAGAATGGAGAAAATGAAGAATGAAGGAAATAAAGATTTTGAGGTTAAACTGGATGGAATTTTGTATTACTGAGGGAGGCTTGTTTTTCCAGATGATGAAGAATTGAATAATGACCTATTGACAGAAGCTCATTGTTGTCTGATAACTATGCACCCTAGTGGAAATAAGATGTATATGGTTATTAAGAGTCGATTTTAGTGGCCAGGAATAAAAAGAAATATCACAAAATTTGTATCCAAGTGTTTGACGTGTCAACAAGTTAAAGCGGAGCATCAAGTTCCTTCAGGATTGTTGCAACCAATCTTCATTCCTCAGTGGAAATGGGAGAATGTGACGATGGATTTTGTAATGGGGTTACCTTTGACTCCAAATAAGAAAGATTCAATATGAGTGATAGTTGATCGATTGACCAAATCAGCACATTTCATTTCTGTTCGAACTGATTTCTCCACGGATAAGTATGTTGAGCTATACATTAAAGCTATTGTTCGATTGCATGGAGTTCCTGTTTTGATAGTTTCTGACCGAGATCCTCGATTCACATCAAGATTTTGGAAAACTTTGCATGGAGCCTTAGGAACTCGATTGAATTTTAGTACAACCTTTCATCCTCAGAAAGATGGACAATCTGAGAGAACTATTCAAATCCTGGAAGATATGTTAAGAGCATGTGCTATCGAGTTCAAAGGATCTTAGGAAAAGTATTTGCCTCTCGCTAAATTTGCTTATAACAACAGCTATCAATCAAGTATCAAAATGGCTCCCTATGAAGCTTTATATGGGAGAAAGTGTCGTACACCATTGAACTGGTACGAGCTCAAGGATCGGGAAGTTATTGGTCCTGAATTGATCAAGAAAGTGGAGAAGAAAGGTCAAGTGATTCAGAACAATCTCAAAGTGGCATCTGATAGACAGAAGTCATATGCCGATTTAAAAAGAAAAGAGATTGAGTTTGAAGTTGGAGATAAAGTATTTTTGAAAGTATCTCCTTGGAAGAAAGTGCTACGTTTTGGCCGGAAAGGAAAACTTAGCCCTAGATTCATTAGGCCATATGAGATTGTTAAGAGAGTGGGACTAGTGGCATATCAATTAACTTTGCCACCAGAAATGGAGAAGATTCATAATGTTTTTCATGTGTCTATGCTTCAAAGATATCGATCATATCCTTCTCATATCGTTGTGTCAGAAGAGATAAAAGTTCAACCTAACTTAACCTATGAGGAAGAACCGATGCAGATCTTAGCATTTGAAGTTAAACAGCTAAGGAATAAGAAGATTCCATTGGTCAAGGTTTCGTGGAGAAATCATAAAGTAAAAAAAGCAACATGGGAACGTGAAGAGGATATGCGTAGACAATTCCCCCATCTCTTTGTGAAGTGAAAATTCGAGGACGAATTTTCTTAAGGAGGGAGATTTGTAACATCCCAAAAATCAGGCTAGTGACCAAAGTGTAAGATTTTAAAACTATGAGATCAATTTTAATAGATTGAAAAGTTCAGAGACTTAATTGGAAGTTCTTTGTGTAGGATTGATGAACAAAGAATAAAATATGGAAGGGCATGTTAGTTATTAGAGAGGAAAATGAATTTAAAAATTATTAGTGGTATATTATATATACACGTGGAATAGAAGAAAGAGAATCTATAAATTTCTTCATCTTTCTTCCTTCTCTCCACTGAGACTCCATAGCTAAGGTAAGAAATTTTCAGTTAGTTATTTCTTTCAATTTTTGATTTGTTTTTGTTATTGCTTGAGAAAGCTTAAGGAGTTATAGAAACTAAAAGATTGATAAGTTAAAGGGAATTTGGTAAAAAGGGTTTTTGAGTGACTTTTTGTAAAAGAACTAGTAAATAAATTTTGAAGTGAAATTTGACTTGTCATAAGTTGGGATAAGGAATCTAAAGTGTTAGAATAGGATTTAGAACATGTTGGAAATTTGATAAGATTTTTAATTTCAAGTGTTCTTTGGGGATTTTGGAAGTTTAGATGAGTTAAAGTGATATAAGTTAGTTTTAATATGTGTAGTTGAATTTAAAGACCTGAAGGGAATTAAAAGTGGGGAACTTAGTTAAGTTTTGGTAAATTTCGAACTGGAACGAGTAAGTTATGGGCAAGAGGTATCGGTACTGGATGAACGGTATCAATACTCTAAAGCAAAAATAGGTGATTTTGGGTTTGTGTATCGATACTGGATGAAAAATATCGATACCATAAGGTAAAATTTGATGAAATGCTTTAATCAATATCAATACCGAATGAGTAGCATCGATACCAAGGGTATCGATACTAATGGTCAAGTATCGGTACCATTTTTAGAGGTCGAATTCCAGAATGTAGAAAGGGTATCGATACTGAAGTATAGTATCGATACCACAGTAAAGAAGTATCGGTACTGTACCTGGGGTACTAAGACTATTCAGATTGAAAATTTGAATTAAGTGATTCGTTTAGCTTATGTTATTTAGGATTGATTATAGTGATATGAGTTCTAATATTTATACCAATCGTATCATTGTGTAGATATAGATCGAAAGCAAGTTCAGGACGATTCAAAGACATAAGATCAATTAAGAGTGTTAATTGTTTTTCTTTGACTAATGATGCCAAGGTGAGTGCATACTACTATGTATATGGTATTTTATGGAAATGAGACTTGCGATAAGTCTATTTCCAATGTTATGCTTGCATGATTCTATGAGTATAAGCATATTGTTGATATGGTTTCTATGTGTACATGAGTACAAGTATATGTCTATATGTTACATGCATTGATATACATGAGTTATGTGTTACATGAACTATGTAGACATGTGAGAATAAGACAAGCTATGTGAAAATGGTTTATGTGAATACATGTCTATATGATAAGCTATGTGAAATGATATAAAAGGTAAATCCTATAAGTATGTGATATGAGAGCTAAGGGTATAATTGGCATGCCAAGAGTCGAGGGTTCTATGTGGTCCTTCGGGACAATTCTACATGGTCCTTAGGGACATTTCTACGTAATCCTTCGAGACATATCTATGTGGTCATTCGGGACATTTTTATGTGGCACTTCGGTACAATTTATACGAGCTGTAGTGACAACATTTGTCCACAACCTCAATGCACTCGCATACCTTAAGTTCTCAATGATGTACCATGGGCTATTAAAAAAATAAATAACATGAATGATTAGTTGCATGATGTTATATATGTCTTGTTTGATTAAATGCATAATGGTTTCTGTATACTATGCTATTTATAGAAATTAAGTATATGATTGCATGTTTTAATGTTTCATTCATGCACTATATGCCTCGCTAAGTCAAAGACTTAGCGTGTGAATGTTTCACACGTAAGATTAAAGAAGCCAGAGGAGCAAGAATAGAAAGTCAAGACATCATATCTATACCGGAAGATCAGATCAGAAGTAATTTACAAAGTATGTATTTTGTTGTAATAAATGTATTGGCATGTAACTAAAGGTGAATTACATTGGCTCTGATCAATTTTGTAACATACACTATTATATTTATGTTAATTATTGAGCTTCTATTTTCAAAAGAATTTGAATTCTGTTTATTTATTTTTAATTAAAGGTTCCACCATTTTTATACAAATGAAGGTTTAAATTTTCAATTATTACTTTAAAGTACATGTTTTGAAAAGTCAATATGACACCTCGGATTCGTATTCGGGTCGGATACGGGTTGGGGGTGTTCCAGGAATTGGGCTAATAATCTAGACGGGTAGATTATTTAGCCCAATAGGACAATATGAAATTTATTTTGGGATCTATATCAAATGCTACAATGTCCATGGAACTCGTCATGTCGGCGTGACGAGTTTCATGAGATATTTTTTTTAATGATTTGTGTCACGTAGGTCCCAGATCCCAAATTTATTTAATATATTGTATAAGACGCATGTAAAAGTCCTGATAAAAAAAATATTTTTTTGAAAATTTTAAAAACATTGTTTTAAAAAATTAATATTATTTTAATGGTAGAGGAACTTGTTGCGCCGGCGTGACAAGTTTCAATGGCTAAAAATTTGAAAGTTTAGACTGTTGGATTGACCATTATTGAACGAGCACATTTTATTTTTAAAAATTCAATGGAACTCATTACGCCAGTGTGATGAGTTCCAACGGCTAAAATTTTTTCATCCCTTTAATATGATGTTCTCTGTAGATGTATCTTATCAATATGAAGTTCCCTGTAGATGTATCTCATCGCCAAATGAAGAAAAAAAATTGAGAGAAATCTTTAGGCTTCTTTTTCATGTTTAAATTATCGGCACCTGATCTCATCAAATCCAATAACATATGGAAAAGTCCACTTGACGACGATAACGATGTTCTTGTTATGGTTGGACTTCATCAATCATCAAATAATAATATGGTGGAGATGTACATCGAAACCATGAATACAACTGATATTCTGACCTCATCAGTACTATCTCGAAGAACAAAAGAAGTAGGCCCCTCTGAACCACATGCAAGTGATGGTGATGATAACCTTGTTGGACGGTTCGATGAAATTCTTGTTGAATTTAGTGAAGATGATGAAGATATTGTTCCATTGGTAGACGATAATGACAGACCATTAGTTGATTAGTCCAATGTTTTTAGGCTGCTTCAGAGGGACAAGGTGTGGATGTTGAGGCTGATGTATAAGAGACAACTCTTTCAAGATGTAAAGGATTGCAGAATGCTCCAAATGTTTGGGCAAAAACAGACCCTCAACCTAAAATGCCTCGCCATTATTTGCCTCGGTATCATCATGTAGTTGCAAGGCATGACATTAACTATGATGCTATGCGGAATCTTGAAATATATGATATACCAGAGTTATGTGATGCTGACTGGGGTTCTTCAGACGAGCGATTATCTGAATTGGCCATTGTGTCTCAGTTTGAAACAAAAAAGAGGCACAACTAGCAATCAAGGAGTATTTAATAAAAGCTCATCTTCAATTCTATGTCGCGAAGTCGGATCAAAAGACTTATTTCGTACGACACCATGATGTTGGTTTAAATGGAGGATACAAGTATCATACCTACAACAGAAGATGTCTTGAGAAGTATCAAGGTTCAATGCACAACACGCATGTACAATGACCTCCTTGACACAAGACACATTCATTTATATTTGGATGTCATATGCTCTTATGTGAAGCTGTTGGTGGAAAAAAATCCAAGAGTGCCCATTT